GGAACCATGCAATGTGGCATCTTCGGTTACAAATATTTAAAAGGAAACTCTAAAGACTAAAGCTTGATTATACAATTTGTTTCGAAGCAAATCTGATTAAATACAATTTGTTTCTATCACACATTTACGTCACGGCACTCATAGGACCACCCGCGGATTCAACAAACATGGCGGCGATAATGGACGAAAAATCAGTGAAACAAAGTTAAATTTCTCGCAAACGAAAAAGAATTGAGGCGAACAAATATTCATTGCAAGGTAGGCTCATATATAGCTTTCTTATGAGCGACACTTGTTCTGGGGGTGGAGTGTCCCTTTAAGCGAAACTCAATCCAAAGTATCTCAAAACCGGGAATTTCCAAATCTTTTCTTTGTTTCACAACAAGTGAATCTGATGTAAAAAATGCAACACCCCCTCCCTGTCTACCTTCTCTACCAAGACGAATAATTTGATTGTACCCGAGAATTGAAAAACATTCACTAGAAATGTATTCATTCAACCACGTTTGAGATACTGCAAAAATATCAAAATTATTTTCTTTAATCAAGAAAGAAATTACTTCAAAATTTTCTCTAATATTCAAACTTCGAACATTTAAATACCCAAGACTAAACGATGATGCCGGACCCGGGTTTAACTGAACGTCATTAGATAAAATTATTCTAATATAAACAATAAACAGCATAATATATAAGAACCTTTCAACTAAAAGAATTCAGTTAACAACAAAAATTAAATTATAATTGCAAATGGCAATTTTAACAATATTAAACATCCCGATTGCCGCTCTATAAGCCGTTAAACTAACCCCCATCGAACAAATCAATAAATAGAGAGGTTTAGATACCCCGGTTTCGGTGTACGGGTACGAGTAGCATGACTTTGGTTAGCAATATTTTCGTCGATGTCTGTACCTTTACTCGTAATTAAGGTGCACATTTTTCGCATTATATCGTTGTCTATTGCAAGAAAACAGAAAAAGTATGATCGAATTACTGACATCAGTAAAACAAGATGACACTACTCGTACCCGTACACCGAAACCGGGGTATCTTAACCTCTCTAATATAACATAACCAAAACTTACCTTATGCTGCACACTAACAAGTTTGAACATCATAAATGGAATTCAAATGTGGAGGAGCTCGAGGCCGATTCAGATGCTGACCACGAACAGTCATTTGCAAAGCAGCAGCTTGGTCAACCTACATGTCAAGGGGAGAGCAAACTTCTAGGCCTTCCTTGGAACAAGCGAGAGGATACTCTTAGCGTGAACTTTCCAGATAAGTTGGCCAGTGTGACAAAACGAGGCATCCTGGAGAATCTAGCCCAAATGTACGACCCTTTGGGAATCGTGTCACCGGTAACGTTAGAAGGGAAACTAATTTATCGAGAAGCTTGCAACCAGAAAATTGCATGGGACACCCCCTTGCCTGAAAACATCGCTACCATGTGGAAAACATGGGAAGGTGATCTGGAAGGTGATCTTCCTGAGTCTGTTTCAACACAACGCAGTCTCGCATCCTATCAAGAGCCAATAGAGAAAGTGCAAATCCATACCTTAGGCGACGCAAATTTTTTTCCGTAGACAGTGGACTCCTCATTGATAGTTGGATGCATCACTGATCCGCGCCCTTAAACAAAACATTCAGCGAATACACTTCTTATTAGATGTGCCTTCCCATTGTGTCTTGCGCACGCATTGGTGATTTCAAAATATTGTATTGCTTGGTTGAGATGTCAAAATATAATTGTAGCTTCATATCTTGTGTGGTGATGACATCTGACGGAGCGATTGCAGAATACCCGTCCACTTTTAAGCTATGCCTTTCAAACATTATGCATGGATGGATACGATGTATTAATACATTTATATTTATTCTCAATAGATTAATAATAAATAGATTGAAAGATTAAAATCCCATGGTGGTAAAGGTAGCTACGAGCCATACAGTGACACAGCATTAATAGATTAAATTGTCATAGTGTTAAAGGTAAATTTATATCTTAGTGGATACGTGGATACGCAGTCAAGTATAGTTATTTTGAGAACGATCGAGGCATACAATTAGATTAGCATTAGATCAGATTCTCATGCTATACGTAGCTCTATATTTTAGTAGATACTCGGATACGTGCATACGCAGTCACTCAGTAGTTATTTTGAGATTAAGGCGACAGTTAGCATTAACAAATTAAATTCATGCTATAGTGAGCTTAAATGTGGTGTAATATGTAAATATGTTCCTCACAGCCGGACATTGGTGCTTGACAGATTATGATTAATTAGCGTCGCTGAGAGTAAAAAAATATTATAAAGCATACTAAGCAGGCTATCTTTAAAACAAGGAACGGGGAATCGGGGAATGGGAACGGGGAATGGGAACGGGGAATGGGAACGGGGAATGGGAACGGGGAATGGCAATCATAAAAAACATTTTAAAGGGTATGGGCAATGAAAATTTCTTCATCTATCTTATTGCTTCATCTGAAAGAGCATGAAAAAATAAGCCGATTGGCCGTTTACTGCTCTATTCTATCTCATCTGGTTCCGAAGTTATAAGCAAAAATGTGCAAAATATAAATTGCTGATT